TGCAAAGACGCTGGTTGAATCTCCATTTCTGACCGAAAGTTTTGAAATGTTCCAAAGAAGAGGACTGCTGAACAAACTCCCCCAGCACTGCAGAGTTAGGGGGAACAGCTAACAAAGAATCATGTTTATGGAAATGAAACCCCAGCAGATGTGATTCAATCCCCTCAACTAGCACCTTGGCAAATCTGCCTGAATGCAATGCAAGTCTGCTTTCACAGAATAAAGGGGACATAAGTAAAGGGGAAGGGCTGTAGGCAAGCCAGCCTCAGACATTGATCTGAGAAGGGGCTGGGATCACACAGAGGATGTAAGTGTCTGAAACTCAAGATTTTCTGCAAGAAAAAAATTCAGAATAGCTTTTATTCTGCCTAAGACTAAAACTGATTTTAAGAATGTCCTGGACAATGGGAATTCTGAAATATTGTTTTGAAAAACATTTGATAAAGCATTTTGCTCCAAATCACTGAATGAAACCCTCAGGTGGCTCAGAAAAATGACAATGGCTAGTAATAAATTATACATGTATTTGAAAAAATCAGAGATAAATGTTCTTTCTTACCTTCACCTGCAGCAAGGAAAATCTACTCATCAGTTAATATTTTCCATTCAGCTTAATAGCTTGTACTTTTTAAACAAGACTACAAACTGTACCATGAATGCTTCTTTTGCCCATGGGAAGAAATGAACTACAGAAAGCAATCAAAAGATTCTCAGTGTTTGATTTTGCTTTTGCAAAACAACCTAGTTAGAAGTCTCTAAGGAGATATTCTAGAATCAATTGCATTAAATTATGTTCTGAGAGCCCAACAGCGAGTCAGAATACAAACGAAGCACAAAAAAGCCATAGTTCCCTTAGTGAAATGAGCACATATTATTAAAAAGGCAATTTGCAGGTTATATGGGATTGGATTCTGGTCCTGTAGTGTAAAGTTTAAGTTTTGAAAATTATTTTGGACATTTCAACACTTAGGAACCAGAACACTCTCACTTGTTTTGATCTTTTGTTTTAAAGTGAAATCAGAATTAAGATCTATTAGGTCTATTTCAAATATGTTTCAGATTCTAGTCTGTTCCCACGATCCCAAGCATCCAGGACTTTAGCCATCAGGGGAGCATAGACTCCATCACAAGGGTATGTGAGCCCTTTCCAGTGAGTGAAGATTTGCACCACCAACGAGAAGGGATCTCTTTTTTTAGCACTCTCCACACAGCTGAGGTTGTGCTTACCTCCTTTTAACTTGGCTGTACATATCACAGACTGAAAATGAGAGAAGCAGGGTCAAAATTCATGTAACCAGGAAAAGGGTATCACCCTGAGCAAAACACATACCTTTGTGGTATATAAAACATGTGCTGTGGAGGGGGTTTGTAGAGAACTCCTTCATACACAGGCCACAGACCACTTAAAATTCTGAAAAGCGAACTCTTCCCACAGCCATTGGGTCCAGTGATTAAAAGATTCATTCCCTCCTGGACCTACAATAGCAATGAAAATGCAAAGATGTTACTATGCAATACATATGGCACAAGGCAGTCTAAGACCCCTAGAGGGAGTTACGTGAGCATTTATATCAAATTATCAGCCCATTTCATTGATTACCCCGCACATATTTATGCAACTATTCTGGAAACAGTGGCATTAGATATAATATGTGGGCTGAAATAATGAAAATAATTACTATAATGTCTGAGTATTTCTATAAACTACACTGATTGTATCACAATGTCAATACACCACAGTCAGAATCAATTGTTCTAATGCAGATTAGGCCCAAAGGTGTTAACGGCATACAGAGCAGTGCTATGCCCATCAGTGACATTAATTTAAGCTATGGGAGCCCAGTCAAATGACTTGGAAAATTTACTTCACATTGCCCTTTCCCGCTTAATTACCAGTGTTATTTTGGGTGTGCACTTGGTTTTATTTATTTGAATATTACCTTGTGTATATATGAGTGTATATTTATGCATAATCACAATGTCATTGTCTATGCTTTACATAAATATATTGACTATGCTATATTTTCTGTTAGTTTTGTCTCTCGAGCCAAATGAATAAATATGTCTCGACCATAAAGTTGTAATTTTACAAATCTGAAATTCCTACACTGAAGCCATTGCGAGTTTTGCCATAGCTAGGACCCTGTGCTCCTAGCTGCTAATCCCTATACCAATAGAGGTGGCAAGAGGAACGCTCTGCTTTAACTAAATTAAAAGACCTCCTAGAATTATTCATGTTAGTGTTCTAATAACTTCTACTATTTTTTAAAATAATAACATCTGCACTGGAACATAAGATGAGGATATATATGGGAATAAATTCAGTAAAGGTCATCCATTAAAATTGTGAGCAGGTACCAAGTGGCATCTGGAATAGCTTTTTAAAAACAATAAAAGTTTTTAATGGGTAAAGACTCCACAGTTGGGCTTGTAAACTATGCTGTCAGCTATTAGTTAGTACTGCTCTTTGTGGTGATCAAGCAAAACTACAGACTCAATTTTCTCACTGTTGCTATGAACTCAGACTTTTAAAGGAGTCTATGTGAGTAAAGCATCCCAATTTAATTGAAACTATGTAAAGATGGATGCAGACTCCCATATACACCTTTGAAAATCTCAGGCTGGTTTTTCACCTGGCAACAGCACCAGAAATCCTCTCTTCTCTTTCTTTGAGCAGGATAAACTACATACGTCTGGCCTCTATTGAGCTACTATGCCTACCTTTCTGGACTTCCCCTTTTATCCATATGCTCCTCCAAGTACTTAACATAAGGTACATGAATTCTGTTCTGTTTATGTTAATGTGATGGCAACAATCAGAAGATTCTTGCATATCATCTTACTTTGAAGTTTAGTCTGGAAACCACCACATCGCCATTCGGAGTAATAATAGGAACATTTTCACAAATAATTCCATGATCAACATCAATAACTTTACCTAGAAAGAAAAAAAAATAATTAGAGTTTGTGAAACCTTCCACTAAGCAACGACATGTGACAGTCTCTGTGCATGGCTGAGAAGTATAAATTGGCGCGTTTCAAACAACTGCTTTATGTGCTCCAGGTTCCCCTAGTGGAAAATCTGGATAATAAATCTTAGCTAGTCAGAAAGATGCTGTCAGCAGTAGCCAAGAGTGTGCAATGAATCCTAGATTTGAGCATAAATATAATGCACACTATGCATCATAAATATGTAACGCACTATAAAGACTTGTTTATTCACATCCTCCCTGTATTTACTGCATTTTGTTTTAAATAAGTGATCAATACCAACCAGTAAAAAAGCTCAAGGATAGCCTTAGCCACAGACAGACCAGTTTGCCTCCTCTTGAGGATTTAATTAGAAAATGGAATCTACTTTCACTACCAGCTCTGAAACTCAGAGCCCAGTTCAGTCTCCTCCAGCAACGAGGGCAAAGGAGAAAACATTTAATGGCTTGCTTCCATCTCTTTTGAAGCCACAGACACTGCAAACGTGTCTTGTAAGTATTTGTGGAAACCCATATAACATTTCACTCCAGTAGCTACACTTACTATTTGGATTTCTGGCAAATTTAAATATACAGTCTCAGTTGGACATTTGGATACTCTGTAACACAAGGACTTTGAAATAAATTCTTCTGGAAACAGTAAAAAAATGAAACCAACTCCAACTTCTTCTCTAACAGAACCCAAACAGCTGCACTCCTAGACAAATATCAGAAATTCCCTTAACAGACAAGATGCAAAGGAAAGAGATTTCTTTTTGTGTTGGAAGGCTGCTTATTTTATAACTTAGACTAATCTGAACAAAATAAAATGGAACTAAGGAAAAGTTGAGTTTATTGCAAAAGGATCTGGTAGCATTTCCTTCAGTTGAGGTTAGTTTTACATTTTCCATTAAGAGGCTCTTTGTTCAATTGCTCCCGACTTTGCCAAACTATAACAACCCAGGCAAACATTTCTGTGCCATGTATCAGCCCAAGCATTCTTTTTTTCCCAAAATAAGTTTCATTTAAAACAGTTCTGTGGTGTCTGACATGAGATAATGGATAACAAAAGTGTTTCGCTGTTAAAAAAAACATTATTGCAGCCTTCTCATCACACTGAGGCTCTATGGCCTTCAGAGTCCTACATGGGCACTTGATATGCAACTGGGAGATTAACCACACCACACCAGGCATGTGCTTTTTGATGGGTTCACAACAATGCTAACAAATCTGGCCAGGACAAACTTTTGTGAAAAAGGGTCATACCAGCCACTCCAGCCACGTGAGTACTTGTGAATGACTTGGCATTCATCTGACTATGTCTCCACAGAAAATCGTCCTTCACTATCTCAAGCAAATTCTGCAAAATCCATTCATGTTTTTGAAGCATTTGGATATGGTGGAGAAATTCTAGTTAAAGTGAAACTATGGTAAAAAATAGTAGGTTAAATAAGTATTAAGTAAACTTAATTTTCATTTCCTAACTTTAGTGTTTGACTGCAACTTTAGCATGCTTTTAAAGCATATTTATGTGTAATCAGCAATACAATTTGACGGTATTTGTACAAGGTGTACAAAATTCTATTTCAACTTTAAAACTCTGAATTATTAGATACACTATGTATAGGGCAATATTATTAGCTGTTAAAAACATTCTAATAGTTTTCATATTTTCACAATGCTCTTATTGACAACAGTAAATGCAAGGCACAAACCAGACATCCCTTAGTTACGTAAACTTACATTGGATGGTTCAAAAGGAAATAAGTAGTGTGTGTTCAAAGAGCCTTTGGGGAAGCTGAATATTAAGATTTTTCTTTTCTAACAATGCAGACACATATACGTATGCGAGCATGTGAACTTTTATCCACATCCAAATCCACCCCACAGGGATTTCTGAAGTCTCAAGACCAAACGAAAGGAGGAAAAACAGTATTACAATGGGACTTGTCATAAAAAGTGTGGAGCCTGTGGCCTAGATTCATCTGGCCTAAATTCTACTTAAGTCCTTGTGCACAATACTTGGTATTGGCTAGGTGCCTCTGAGAGCCTACAAGCGCTCAGGAGCACACACTAGACACCATGACTTAGGAGGAAGTCAGGGTGGATGAAACGTGTGACTGTAATGGAATCCAACCTTGGGAAAAGGCTGCAGAGAAAAAGGAGTGGGCTAGAAGTATACTAGACCAAAAGGGAATGTGAACAGCATGCTTGCATATCTGAACTGTATTTAGTTTTTGTTTTAAAACACAGTTATCTAAGAAGAGGCCTCAGATTACTTTGTTGCTCCAGGAACTACAAACTTTTTCTCCTGTATGTGACAAAATGCCATTACTTTTAATGTCAGCGAAATATTACCAAGATCTACCAGATTAAGACATCAGCTATTTCCACAGTTACCCGCCATGCTGCATCAGACTGTTTGTTATGAAGAACCTTGTCAGAAGACCTTTGAGAAATCTGTGCTGAAGGGCAGCACTGTTGAAATTGTTGAAAGAAGTTATTTCATAAAGACCACTCTGGTGCCTTCAACTCTACCGAGGTTTAAGTTTTCAGAAGCCAAAGTGAGGGAATGAGGTTTTTCAACACCGCAGAGGGGAGAAGCAGAAAGGGTCTGTTGGGAAAATTGGGAAAAGCCCATTGCAAAAGCTGGCTTTCAATACCTCAGAGAGAAGCTGGACGCAAGAGGAAGAGAGAGGTGGCACATAATGGAGCACGGTAAGAAACAGATGTACACAGAAAATGCTTTGGGGAGGGTGGAGACAGAAATATAGTCACACCAGAAAGATACAGGATATGGATGGGGGGGATGAGGTATATACATTGATTGGATCATTTTGGGGGTGAGGGGAAGGGTAAAGTTGTCAGCCCATTTTCCGATGAAAATTCCCATTATATTATGAAAAAATGAGTGCAGGCTGATTTTTAGACACTGAAAACAAAGAAGCATTTTCATAAAAAACTACCTGTCTTTCCCCCCTACACCAAACAAAATAACGTGGTATTCGAAGATTAAAATTTTACAGTCTCAGTTTCCTGAAAAAAATGAAGAGTCTAAGGAAAGCAGGCACTGACCGTGTAAGAATAGTAACACCGCCACCACCAATAACAGTATAGTTGAAATACCTTTTTCATTGGAAGTTTTCACAGAAAACATTTGAGCAATTTTGTGTATTAGAAAAGCACCGCATGAGCGCAGAGTTACAAAGTATCAGGAGGTTAAGCCGGAAAGCAACATGGTCTCCGGGTATTAAGGCTGAGGGACTGGTTTGCTGTAGAAACAAACCCTCTGTTCACCTCCTGCCGCACTGCACTGTCCCCACACACAGGGAAATACATGCAAATATGAATTATTTACCTTTGATTTCTAAGGGCCCATCGATGTGTAATTCTGCTTTATCTTCATTCTTGCTGTTGTTTTCAGACTCTTGAATAACAGCAGTTCTTTTGTAGATGCCTCTCTTCACCTCATCAAAGACTGAAAACATGTTGTAGACGCGGGCGGTGTAGCCCGCTAGCTCAGTAACCTGAGAAACAGCAGACGTCTCATTTCAGTTCAACTTCGCAAATTCTATAAATGAAATGTTTGGCCAAAGATTTATGAACAACGTTCCCAGCTATCCTGAGTCAGTGCTTCTCAAATGCTATTCTGGAAGGACCAACGATGCGTCTTTTGACGCCTGCCGATTTTCACTCCTTGAGATTCTGTGCTAACCCATGCGCCACCCACGCTCCTACCAGCCAGTAGACAGAGACAGTTTGAGGGGGACAGATTTCAGCCAATGTAAGCTATGATAGCTCCAGTAAATGAGGGGGTTGCAGGGACTGCTCTTTTCCGTGGATCAGTAGAGTCTTCAACCAGCAGAGAACAGCTATTAGCATATCTGAAAATAAAGAGCCTATCATACAACAGAAAAACAAAATCTCTGCATTTGCCAGCGATCTAAAGGTCCACAGAAGTGAGAAAAATTGGCATCTATAATTATTTATGTTTACTACCCTGTATTCCCAAAACCTCCTGTGGAAAAGGTGTGCTTTTCTGTGTAAAACAGGCAGCACCAGGGTACCCTAATCTAAAATACAGCGCAAAAAAAGAAACTACTCTTCTGTGAAGTGCATGCTAGAGTACCAGAGCTAAATCTGAGCCTTGGATTAGAACTGGGCATTTTTAAGATGGTGAGGTATCTCAAAAAGGCTTTCTCCATTTTCTTTGGTCCTTTTGGCATGATTTACACTTGGTGAAGACAGAAACAACAAATCTCTGGACCTGATAACTTCCTATTCATGAGCAGCGACACCACCAAGAGCTCCCAAAGAACTGCCTGCATCTGCTGGCAGCAAAGAATTAAACCCAGGCATCTTATTATAAATGTATTATTAGACGGTTTTAAAAGGATAAATTTTCATACTAAATGCAGAGAGCAAGACAAGAATAGCAAGAAAACAAGTTCAAGATTATAAACTCATTAGCTTCCTGTGGTTAAAGACATACAGCCCATGAGTGAGTTCACTTGCTATGGGTGTACATAATTCCAATATAAAATCCTCTATAAATGTCACTATTTGTGTCAGATTCAGAAGTGAGAGCTAGTTGTGGCCACACGGCCATCACTCCACTGGAGGTTAACAAGTATACAGGGTCTCAAAAAACTCAGTTTAAAAAGAGTAATCACTCAAAGTTTAAACTCCATCGGTTGTACACTGTTTTGCACTATTGGTAATTGCATTAACAGCTGTGAAAAGTATTGGGCTCACAGCAGTGGAGGCAGTAGGTAGCACGTAGGAGCTGTAACATCATTCTCCACACTGGAGTCTTTCTAGCAATTTCAGAGGGAGCTCATGCCAGGACTGAGTGCTCTGCACAGTATCGGCAGCGGCATTTGATGGAGAGAATCCTACATGTGAGGAACAAAACTTGCAGCAACTGTGCCCCAAAGAAACATAGCTTGCAGTAAGTTTCTAAACCATGACCCTGCAAACTCGCTTTGTCAAAACTACTAAATAGTACCATCTAAACTATTGACCTGCAAAGAAAAGTTGAGCCCACCTCTTCTGCCTGCTAAACTACACTGACTGCAAGGAGGCCGCTTTGGTGGATCAGGTGGGCAAGAACTGGAACTTCACTACCACTTCAGGTGGATTGAAGTACACTGTCCTTTGGAAACTGCCTGAATTATGAAATGTGAATGACAATGTGGTTAAAGTACTGCAGCGTCTCTTGAAGAGAAGCATAAATGAAAAATTAAGATGGAAATTCACAGAACTGGTCTTTGATCTTATGTTGTCTGGATTAGTATCTCACCATGCTATAATTAAAGTGAGTTTGTTCAGTTGTTCCTACTACTTTGTGGGTATTTTTGTTTCCAAAAAACAAAACCACAATGTTTATAATTCCCCATGTACATTATATAAATGACTTAAATGTTGAAAATAACCTATTATACACTGATGTAATTTCTATTTTATCTGGCAATATCTTTAGAGCAGAGGCCAAGCAGGGCAACAGCTAAAGGAGCATAGGTCAAAATCACAGTCCATTAGAAATTCTTCTGAAAAAAGCAGACTCTGGTTTTGTCAGAATCCATATCTGAAGGTGCCAAACTCCCCCTCCTCCTCCAATTTACAAAGCTGTAGCTATTATGGCTGGATTCCAAGTAACGGAATCCATAGTCTTTGACTACCTGCCTAGCTAATGCATGCCTCCTCACGCTGCACGGGGAAAAGGGGTACTCACCAAAGGGACAAGCAAAAACCAATTAACAAATACAGAACCAACAACCAGGAGGAAATGTTGAAGAGAATAACAGCACTGCCTCACTTTTCTTTTGTTTAACAGCCATCACCTAGAGAAACTCCCAAGAGAGACCACAGATGAAAGCCCAGCTTTACTGGAATTTGGGTAAGGACCTGAAACAGTGTCTCTGATCTTCCAGACAAACATCCCATACTTCTAGACTATCGGCTGTCCCAAGGTGGACTTTTTCCTGCTAAAATTTCTCTACTTTGTAAAACTACCTACAATTTAACAGATTCATAAGATACTCAAAACAGCCCTCCAGCTAGGTGGCCAGGAAATAAGTATTCAATTCTCTTTGTGTTTCATACAAAACATGACACTTCCAACAGAAGAGCCCCAATACACTGGAGGCAGACAGCCTGAATTCAGGTCTGTGCTCCAAACAGAGGAGGAATTTGAACCTTTATCACTCACCTTCCAGGAACTTCTATTGCTCTCTGATGGCATCTGAACGCAGGTATTAAAAATGACATTTATGTGTTGCACCATACTGGCAGCTGTGCACTTTAGACTCTTTGTAGACTTAACTCTAAAGATCAAACTATCAGTTCAAAGATCTCCATGGATTTAGTTGCAATAGAATTTGCCTTTAAAAATTGCACTTTTTTTTTTTACATTTTTTATTCAATGTAAATTCTGGTTTACTTTTTTTTCTCTTCTGTTTCATGTATGACAGATGTACGGTACCTCTTTGTATGAAGACATAATCCTTTCAATAGCATCTGCTCCAGAGATCAGCAAGTTTCGTGATGTAGTAAAAGCTTCTGTTCTTTCACTAACCATTGCCTGTTTCTGGCCATCTTCCAGTTCTAAAAGCAAAAAAGTTTTCTGTTAAAATACTCTTCTGAAAATTCTCAACTAATTAAATTATGATTAGAATGTGAGTCATTACAGAGCAGCTTTTAAATTAAGAAAAAGTTAACTCTACAAGCACAACCTTTCAAAAAGAATTGGTGAATGTAACTAGCATAGATAGCTTGGTAACAAAGAATAAGCAGGAGTATACGGAATTCATCTTCTTATGCAAAACATCCTATTCTTTTACAGTGTTTTTCTACCTAGATAATTTTCCTTTTAATATACCATTGTTCAACCTAAATTTTTCAAAATATGAAAAAAGTGAAACCTAAGCAATGATCTGAAATGGATTTTTAATACCATTTTTACTACTTTTGCAGTTGTTAATTTTCAGCCTTACTTATTTACTGACTTCATGTAAAAGGAAACATTTGTATTGATGGAAATTTGGCAATATGATTATATTTCTATAAGAAAGCAATAAGTTCTTTTATTGTCAAAGGCGTGGTTTAGGTAGGATACCTCTCTCACACAACAGTTTCTCTCTTCATCTGACCCCAGAACAAACGTGTGATGCTTTGTTCCTGACCCTGCATCCTATTCGCAAGAAAACTCTTGCTCCAAAGAAAGGAGTCGTCTCACAAGAACATGTCAGCAGCAACAGGCAAGGAGAAAACAGCAGCAGAAATTATAGAAGTTATGTGAGAAAATAAATATGTTTACGTTTAACATATCTACATGTACCCTTGCTACTGTGTGACCTACAGATTTATACAGCATAGTCAACCTGCAATGTTTGGTTTTTGAAGGAATCAAGATTTAAAGAGAAGTGGCTGAATATTTTAAGACTGAATGTTGTTTCAGTCTTAACAGTAGCATCTACAAAAGAGAAGACAACAAGGTATAGTAAACAACTTTTAAATATTTTTCACATACAAGATTTAGAATGAATGGTCTCAAGGGTTTTCTGCCTCACATAACTTTATATATATCTTTATATATTGCTTAAGTCTGTTACCAAACAGGGTATGGATATTTTTTTTTTAAGTTTGTAAAGTTTTTTTTGAAGTTTCTTTTTTAAGCTAAGCTGCTGCTAGGCATCAGGCTAGATAGGGCAATAGGTGAATCCAGTGTGGTGACTCCTGTATTAGCAAATGTTCCTAATACCCTCTGTGATGTTTGCACAGTGCTTATGGTCAAGAAAATCTAAGAGGAATTCCTTGCAGGTGTGACATGACCTTACATTTCATGGGTTAAGTCAAGCAATGCAAGAGTATAGCAACAAATATTTTTTCACTTGGTAACTGTCTCACCTCCCTGACAAGATCAGATTCTAGAAATCTGGTGTCTAGAAATCTACATGCAGTACCCAAGCCAGATGTATCTTTCTGGCTTTATTAGTTAAATCTAAATGTTATTTTGCTTTCATTTACACATCCATAAAGCTATCCCTACAGAATTACAACTGAATCACTGAAGTACACTATGGATAAGTCAGGAAAAACTTTTTTTAAATCCTTGTATCATAATTTTGCATACATATATATATACACACACACACACCCCATCTATATGTTACTCTTTCTGGCCTCTGATGTTTTTAATAACAATTTTAATTAATTGAGATACATGTTCATATTATTTAGCTTAAATTATGCATCAGTACACTGCCAACCAGTTGTATGTAATCTAGCCACCTGAGACACAATGAAAGGCATGCTTTTTTAAAAAAAAAAAGACATAAAATCTCTTACAAGAGAGAGATTACAAAACTGTTGCTCACGTAGTTCTCACTTATTTTAAGAAGTTATTTCCACTCCAAGAAGAATAAACTTAGGGGACAGAACGAATTCAGTTAATTCATTAGTAAAAACTAAATTGCAATTTGTTTCTTACTTCTCAGAGAACCAATTTTTGCTGATCTTGTTGGGATTACAGCCCACACAGCCATGTTATGTAGAATCACCAAAATTAAATCGTTTGGGAATCAGCTATGGTTTAACCACGCTAATGCAGCATTCCTCCTGTATGTAAATGCAGAATTTACTGGCGGCTGCTTCCAGCACCCAGGCTAGCTCATCTAGAAAGAGTTGAGAGACCTCTACAAACCACTGCACTAGTCATTCTAGGCATACTTCTAGGGGTATTTGAAAAATTAAAATGATACAGATTTTATGAGCGTTTCACCGTTCCAAAACACGAGCTCTTATATTACATGCCTAACCCACCAAGATTACTTTTCTTGCACTTTTCATCCAAAATATATTTCATATGGCTGGCATCCTGCGTTTGAAGAAGTGGTGTAACAGGGCAGACAGCCTGTCTCTGTTTCATCCAGAATCTAACATTTCCCTTTTCATCTTCATTTATGTAATTGATAGTCATACTTGGTTTATAAACAAAGATAAGTGTTCACTGTGTCTAGAGAAATCAAAGTCTTGCTTCCAAAAACAGTTACTTTCCAGAAACTGATGGGAGATGCAACATTTGGAACACCAATTGTTTAATACAAAAAGAATGAGAAATTCTGTCAAGTGGGAATCTTGGCTTTGCCAGTTAATTTCTTCCCTGAAATATGTAACAGAATTAGCAAATTTCAATCAGAAATATCACCCCCATAGAAGATTCTTTTTTCTTTTTACTGCAGGATTATTTTTTTACTTTTCTTTTTTTTGTATAAAATTTATTGCTTTACACCTTTAGACTCAGGTCTGGTCATGGTAGCAGTTTTGTGCATATCCCTGATTCCGGTGATTTATCCTGAAGTAATAAATCCACTATCTATTCCTTCAGAGATGGACAAACTTGCATCTGACCTGCTGAGGCACCAAGCACTGTTCTCCCAAGCAGGCCAATAGTAAGTTCAGGTCTGCTTGATTCTTTGAATATCTGTTATACTTCAAACTGGTCGTGACAGTGTTGACTTGTCAGTATTATGTTTGTGACCCATCATTATTATATGCCTCAGGTCTCCATAATAAGCCCTGTGCTTTAATGTTTTATGTTGCTGGTGGCAAATAATCTTCCGCTTTACCACATGAGCCATTGCTGAGTCTTTCTTTTCTCCCACATTTGAAAAGTGTTTATCAGAAGAACACTCATGAGTAACAGGAATGTTATTTAGTTTAGCATGAATATGAGTATTTTTTTTCCATTCATGCTGTAATACCAAGGAGATATTTACAATGTGCGGTTAAATGATCTTTTTCTTGACCGTACTCACTCCCATCTCGGCAGAAAGACTCTTACCACTTTTTCTGTTGTGCTGAAAACCTTCACCATGAGGTGAAATGACTTTGTACAAACTCAACTGTTTGGAATAGGACCTCCTGGTATTTTTGAAGCTGTTACCAGGATTCCAGTCAGGGTCCTGATACAGTGCCCTCCCGAGGCACGTGATGGGCAGCAGCTCAGACAGCTGAACACCCAGCCACCTACCAACACAACTGCACGTAAACTAAACCATGTGAGGGCTGCATGAAGTCATCCTACAGGGCAAACCAAGCTTGTCCAGTTGGACAGCCCCGATTTGGAATATAACTACCAAGACCTGTATGGAAAGGAATTCGCTCATTCCTGATTAAATGTACACAACTTAAAACTGATCCTTCCACAGACGCTGTAGGATCCATGCTTAAAGAATCTTATGGAATTTGTAATATATTCTATGGTTCTAATTGCACATAAGGAAGCCGTTTGAGGCAGATTTCCCCACTTGTCTTTCACTACCCCTCCTTAATTACATTTCTTTCTGCTCTCTAGTCTCATTTCACTTCCTGGGAAGTTGTGGTAGGATCTCAAAAATTACAGCATCCAAGCCTGGAATCTGAATTTCACCTTCACTTCTCCCAGGGAGTCAGGAAAAACCAGTGGTTCCTAATAGATCAGCCCCTAAGAGAATAATTACCTGTAATCACACTATGGTTTATGGAAGGAGGAGATAAGCACTCTAGGAAAGTTAGTAGCATCATTTTGTAAAGTAGCAGCCTCCCATCCCAGCAGTGGCTAGTGAAAAAGGACTGCAATTACTATCATAATCTCCTGTGGCATGAGGATCATCTAAGTCCCGAATTCATGCTGTTTATCAGGCTTATGTTCAAAGCTGGATCTTTTGTGTTGCTCTTTCCTCAGCTGACTTGCTATGCTTGAAAGTTACACGCAAGACACGGACATTGTAATAAAGTTTGTGAATAATAAATAAATATGAATGGCATTCAGAGGAAGTACAGTCTTTTGAGGACATAACTTTCAAGAAACATTTAGAAATTAAGTAAAAGGTAGCATTACCGCCATCTGCAAATCCCGTTGCGGTGATGATGGGCACGGCAACCATAATCATACCACAGCTACTCCAGACATACTTCATCAGGAACTGCTCTATCATGATGTACCATAAACGTTTGGACAAAATGAGATTCATTTGATCTGCCAAAGCCTTGTAGCTTTTCTGCAGTTGTTTCATTTCTACCTACAGTTAAAAAATAAAACATTTATACAATGCAACAAAGATGCATGCATCATACAAGATACATTCACATACGTGCATGAAATAATCGGGTACCCAGAGCTGTGACTTCTGAGCCCTGTCTGTTGCATGGTCCTTTATTTTCACAGCGCTGCATGCTCACAGCAGAAGTGCACAGCTTTATGGAAGCCAGTGGACCTGGTTCTTATTTACACCACCTCCCCCTCGACAGCACATTGGCAGGTTTTCAGCTTTTTTAACATCTCTGATATACAAGAGAGCAACATACAAGGCAGTCACAACAGCTGGTTCGAACAACCAAAATAAGATCGATTCCCCATCCTTTTAATGGAGCCGCAGCTGCGGGGTTTCACAGCACCTGAAATGCCTCATACTGGAAAGCATTTGGGGATCAATTATCTTCAATGACTTAAAGTTGCAGATCCCTGAAATGCAAGGCTGCTTGGTTTTGCAGCAGTCTGGAGGAAGAGAGAACTATCCCAAGAGGTTTAACAAGTCAAAGACAGTTGCAAGTCAATATGATATAACTGCATTCAGTTAAAGACAGTATATGTGGGAACTGAAAAAAATATTTCATTTAGCTGCACTTAAAACGTTACTAGCAGCAATTAGAAGCAACAATTGCTTCTACCAAAATAACCCATTTACATAATATAATTATTGCTTGGACTAAAAGAGTAATACTTCAGGCTGGTTTCCACCTTTCATTTTCACCTTATGTGAAACCGTTTTTTTTCCAAATAGTGTTTGAAAGGCGTTACAGCCAAAATCCACTTCTAATAAAAATATGAAAAGTTCCTTAATAAGGTGGCTTTAAAACAAGCCATTAGTTTATGTAACTGTGACTGCTGAAGTACTGTACTTAAGCTATTTTAAGACTCTGATGACTACATCTTTGCTTAGCTATGTAAAAGAGTGTCAAAGGTTGTAGCGCGCTCTGTGCTATCACAGAGTTCTCTCCTGGACTTTCTGGTGTGCCCTTGTTGCTATTTCTGCGGCATTAAATCTGGTAGATCATAAACATGGGCGAAAAAAAAAAAACAACCTGGAAAAGTTAAGCAGAATGGACTGGGTGGGGGAATAAACGGAGATTAGCTTTCTAGAAAAGCATAGGATCCAGCTGCAAAACAGGAACACTGTCAGAGCACAAGGGAACTATGGCCCGCTCCCCTCAGATACCGCCTGTGAGACTGCATTTCCCTGGGAAACGGGAAGTGCTGGCTGTAAACAGGTTTAAATGTCAGAGGGACCCAAAGTGCTCGGGGAGGGCAGCAGGGGAGGCACGGGTCAGCTTTGGCACTGCAGGAGCAACCCTAGCACCCTCCAATTTCTCTCCTCCTTACCTTGTGCCCTCGGTAAAAGGCGATCTCTTCCACGTTGGCGATGATGCGTGAATGCATGAAGCGCAGATAGCCCTTCTTGTGCGCCTCCTCAGCCACCAGCTTGCCAAACTTGGGAGAGCAGGCTTTGAGCACGCGGGCCGTAGCATAGACGACAAGCCCAGCCAGGAGCGTGGGCCCGATGGGGTTAGCCCCCCGGGACCGTGCTGTGCGGATGAGGGTGTAGGAGGTGAGCATGACATCCAGGATGGGCTTGGTGAGGTTGGAGTAGAGATGTGCCACGGACTGTGAGAACATCATGATGTCCTCGGTGAGGGACTGGTCAGGGTTGGCCAGCCGCCCATCCATGCTGATCACTCTGTAGTAAGTCTGGTTGGCAAAATAGGTCTCATAGGCGCGATCCACCAGGCGCGTGCGGAAGGCGAGGGCCAGCTTGCACTCCAGGTACCGTATGGTGCTGTTGACAAAAGTGGCCGGGATTGCAATCATCAGCCATTTGATTAATTTGAAGACAAAGCTCCTGGGCTTTTTTTCCACGATGCTTTTCACAATCTTCCCATCGAGGGCAGCCACATAGATGGAGAGGAAGGTCCTGGAAATCAGAGCGACCGAGTGGAGGCAGAGCAAGCCCAGCTCGGGGCTCACCAGCTTTGGGAAGAAGAGCTTGCGAAGTTCCAGCAGCTGCTTGAA